TGTAGGCCCTGGGTCGAGCCTGCCTTCACTTAGGGCGGCCGACTGTACAGAAAATAGGGCCCAGTAGGGCAGATCGAGGCCTTGAGCCTCGCATTCCCTCCTCCATACTTCGACAGTCCTCTGAGAAGTTGATTACTCAATCTGTCGCTTTCCTTTCTGCAGTGATAATGAACGACAGCCTGTGGAGCGGTCTGCATCAGTTCCTCTCGAGTGAACCATCTGTCCTCCTTTGGATCAGTGTGATGTCTGAACCGAACTTGGTATTGCAGCTTCGGCTTCGGAGGACGTCCCCTGCCTGTCGGTCTTGGAACCGGCATTTCTCTGTGGTCCACGATATCATCGATGTCGACCTCTCCATCCATGGTTGGGGGCAGCATCGAGCGTCGCGAGGGAAACTGATCAGTTTCCTTGGATGGTGCAAGCTTAGAGGCGCGGAAGACAGGGTAAGTGCGAAGATGACCAGGGATCCGAATGACATCCGATGGCCCATCCAGATCCTCTCCGACAATATCAAGAACCTCCCAAGGTCCAAAGTACTGTGGCATGAGCTTGCGGGATATCCCATGCTCCTGTCCCAGTTCCGAGGATTTGACCCAGACTCTGTCCCCTACCTGAAATGTAGATGGGCGGCGGTGTTTGTTCTCAGACTCTATCATCGCTGACTGGGCTTTGTGCATCTGTTCTACCACTTGCTGCATCAACTGCTCATATCGATATGCAAATTCTAACGTTCCAGGTGCAGCTGTCGGCTGATTCTCAGGTAGTAGGAAGTCTAGAGGCAGTCTAGGCTTAAAAGTCAGTAGCAGGCTGGTAGGACTCACCCCTGTTGCGCTGTGCACAGCATTGTTGTACAGGCTGGCGATGAGAGCAAGTTTCTCATCCCAGTCCACCTGGTTGGGCTTTATGTAGTGCCTAAACAGGTGTTGTACAGCGCGGTTCAGCTGCTCCGCTTGCCCGTTTGCCTCTGGGTGGTTCCCAGAAGTCATCTGCAGCTGTGTTCCTTGTTCTGCAGCTGCAGCCTTCCACAACTCACTAGTCAATCGGACATCCCGGTCACTTACAATGGACTTTGGAAGCCCAAAGTCTCTGACCCAGTTCTCTTTAAACAGCTTGATCACATACTCGGTCTTGGCTGCAGCAGGCATTGCGACTAGCCTAGCATACTTGCCAAA